CATATTACCTTTAATCCTACAGACCAAAACTAAACATATTACCTTTAATCCTACAGATCAAAACTAAACATATTACCTTTAATCCTACAGATAAAAACTAAACATATGTGAAGAGAATTATATGGGAAAATCATTAATCTATGAGCATAATAAACATATATATTTCAACTCCATTTCATAATTAAGCATGTTACTGAAGAAGGTAATGTTGCTGTAATAGTAACAGATGAGTATGGGGGGAGAAACAAGTTAGTTTTCCAAAGGAAAAATTATTAGCAACAAACATGAATTACTCAAAGCAAATTTAGTGTACAGTTTGTTACTTATGATTAATGTTCAAAAAAAGACTTATTTACTTATTCATGATTTCTACGTGGTCTACAAAACACAAGTTTATCTATGAGAAAACATTAGGTGTTGTTCCTTATGCAGCTCTATTTAAGATATTAATAGAAGACGATGCCAAAAACCTTCTGCAAATATGAAAATGGCTAATAGAATCTTCTAAAAAAACTTGGTGAATCTTGTGATTTTATGTTCTTGGCATTGTTTATTAAAAAATCTATTTGCCTGAACTAATGCTATACGTACTTCTTCAGTAAATACCACAGAATTGGCCTCAGCCTCAGCTATCAGTTTCTGTAACATAGAGGCAGCATGTCCAGACTGTAGTCGGGTCATTGGGCTGGGAGTGGCAGCTTGAGAAATGGAAGATGATCCAGCTATCATGTTTTTCGATTTCTGTGGGAAAAGAAATTGTATTCAATTACTAGAAGTTTGATCTAGAGAACATATTTATGTGATAAAAAACAACAAATACCAAATTCTGGCTAGTGACTGTTACTTAGGAAAACAAACAAACAAAAAGGACCTGAAAAGTTAGGGCATAACATAATGAACAATCACAATTGTTACTTTTAAGAATAAAGAGACCGAAAACATATGTATTTTCCATTAAAAAAACAAATTAATACATTTATTTTTGGAGCAATATAATATTGCTTAAAAAATACACTGTAAAATTAATTCATTCTCAAGCTAAAACAGTTCCTCATTATTACACAATATTTATAAAGTTGGTTCTTTAATAACATGAAGACACTGATACTTAATATCATAAGTAATAATTATCATACTTACAAGCTAAATATGATCCCCAATTCGTAGATGACTTAACCTTAACCAAAGGTAATACCAAAATACGATATTTTAAAAGTAATTATAACCTGCTGATATAAAAAATTTTCCTGAGGAAAATGTGAAGAAAGAATTATTAAAGACTGCTCAAATACAACATATATAGAAATTTAAAGCACATGGACACTAAGCAAGACTACTGAGAAAGAGCTAGTAAAAAAGAAAATTGCTCTTTTTGTTTTAACACAATTAAAGATTTTTTTGAGATTTCTTCTAAATAAAGAATGAGATATTTTTGAAAAATTAAAATACTTAAATTAGTACGAACATTTTCTTACCACTGGAGTTGCCTGTGACTCGAGTTTGAAGCATTTCAGTGCCTCAGTTGAAAGATTTCTTTTCAGAAGAGTTGCTTTGATGTACGAGTCAAATAGAAAGAACACCACGTCACGATTATGCTTGGTCCATGCTCCTTTTAAACCATGAACTACAAGGCGATGTGTTGGTGTGTCTTCCATATCCTGGTAGTGAAAAGAATATAGGTTCCCTGCTACCATGTTCTAGTTACGATAATATTTACAAATCTCGACATAATTATGATCAGATTGACAATGGGTGTATTTGTCTAGGATGACATTAATACAAGGACATCTTTATGAAGTTAAGGTAGTTCACCAGAAATTCCTCCGATTATTGTTCTGTTTAAAGATCATCTAAAGAACATTTTTCATCTAAAACTAGGATAACGATTACATAAGTGTATCTCCCACATCCTTTATGAAGACAAAAGAGAAAAGTTTTTGTGAGGAGAGGAAATCCACAATGTACTTTAAATAGGTAATACACTCATAAGCTGTCCCTCTGGATTTTATTTATCTCTCATATTTGTGTTATAAGATGAACCAATATACAAGTTACAAGTGAATTATTATTAAAATATCCTTGCATTCAATACCACCCTGAAAGTGAATAATATTACATCATTCATGCTCAGCAAGGTTCTGATTTAAGCAAAAAATGACTTCCATTCTTTTTTTTCTCTGTGTAAAAAAACATTTCATTATTAATGACCCAACAAGCAAAAAAGGGTCAAGGGTCACAGTTTCCTTCAATTACTATATTTCAACAAACTTTAATTGAAAATGGTTCCCACCATTTTTACAATAATTCACCAGTGCATCACAAACTTTAAATGAAAATAGCTTCCAATAATTGAAAAGGATAAAGTATCATGTTAAAACTAAGTTTTATCAGAAAACCTTCAGCATAAAATAGTAGGAACAGAATCATTAACTAATCACACATTAAACCAACGAATTTAATAGTATCACACACCTCTCATCCTAATATGTCTTCAGGTGGATTAAATTTATGCTAACAATGTTCAAGAAAAGGAAAGAAATGCCAATGAATTAAACCCATTGACACGGTATCTTATATGAAACAATAAACTAACATTATTATTATAATTTTAAAGTAGAAAAAAGTTGGAATTCAGATTAAAGATAAAACTGATGCTTACTGAATTAATCAAGCATTATTTTCACAATATTCAAAGTGATTTTATTTGCTTGTTTGTTTTAGAGAAAAGCCATATTGGGCTATTTGCTGTTTCCACTGCAAAGAGTTAAACCCCAGATTTTAGGGTTGTAAGTCCGTGGACATACCACTGTCCCACCAGGGGATTCCAAGTTAGTCATAGGCTAAAGAGGTTCTTCCAAATTAGAAAAAAACAAACTAAGAAACAACTGATCATGGCAACAATGCCTTCCTGAAAAACAGATGTTTGAAAAAGTTTGATCATTTACATAGTGCTGTAGTAATAATAATAAAAGACATTCTATAATAACAAAATTATTGTAAAAAACAGCTCCAAACAATTTTGATTCATGATTACAAATATAGGAAAATTATCTTCAGCTCATAAGTTAATATTTAACATATGTTTAAATAACCATAAGAAATACAAAAACATATAAAATAAACATTTCTATGTGTGGTAAACTCAACATTTCAACTTCATTTACAAATTAACTATCAATTTATCAGGAGGTTCCTATTCAAATGCTTTACAAACTTCCAATGAAGAGAAACCCAATACATTTATAATGTTAAAAACTGTCCTCTATTTGTTCATACAAGGTGTTGTTGAACAAGAAATGTGAATTCTCAGTGGTAAGATCCAGCATGGTCTTAATTTGATTTTTGACCCATTCTTTCCACTATAGGCACACCTAGTTACAAACTTGCTAAATTCCTTGTACCTATACTTCAGCCACTCACTACTAATGAATATACTATCCCAGATTCCTTTCACTTTGAACGTGAACTAAGTCAACTACCCCCCTCAGATAATCTCTTCATGGCGAGCTTTGATGTTACCTCCCTCTTTACATATATTCCCTTAAATGAAACTATTAACATATGCATATCTGAGCTTTCACGTAATAACTAACATTCCTCTAAATGGCTTTTCTTTTACTAATGAAAAATATGATTTACTGTCATATTATAACCACCCCCCCATGGCTGAAATGGCGATCATGTTTGGTGATGGGATTCAAACTCGTAACTCACAAATTGCGAGTTGAGTGCCCTAATCACCAGGCCATGCCAGAACTTACTCTAAAGTAATAAGCCTTCATATACAGACTATCTACTCACCTGTTCTGTTAACAGATCTTTGATAGAAGCTTCTCTCCCATAGGAAACCCTTAGATTGAAATAGATATACAGTTTAAAACTAATAAATGGTATTTAAAATGGTTCACATTACAGCTTAAAAATATCTATTTTAAGTAAATAGCTTTATACTAACAAACGTTATATATTCAAAATAGTTTAGTTTGTTTTTTTGGTTTTGTTTGTAATTAAGCACAAAGCTACACAATGGGCTATCTGTGCTCTGCCCACCACAGGTATCGAAACCTGGATTCTAGCGTTGTAAGTCCGCAGACATACCGCTGTGCCAATGGGGATCAAATAGTTTAAGTAAAAAAGCAGTTCATGTAAAAAGCTTTGTAGTAATAAACATTTAATAAAAGCAGTTTAATAAAAAAGCTATTAACCTAAATAGATTTGTAGTAATAAACAAGATTTATTAAGAATAGTTTAAGTAATGGTTTCTTCGATCTAATGAGAATTGCAAATCCTACATAATCAAAACAACTGGAGAGACTTTTCTAGTGGTTAACATCATTATCTTAAGATAATAAGATTTTAAATTTAAAACAAAGAATGTATTTGCTCTTTAATGCATGCAATCTTTCAGTGAATAAGTACTGAAAAACAAAGTTTCAAAGTTTAAAAGTTGTTTGTAGACGGAAAATATTTAACATCATAACCAATTCTTTTCAAAGAACAGGAATTTATCACAAATCCAAAATTTAATATTTCATACAAACGTTAATAACTAACCTTGTCACGCTCAGGAAATAATTCCTGTCCACAGGTCCTCTGAATGATTTGTTTGCCTACAGAACATAAAGATATATTTCATCCTTAGCCCATTAACTGCTGATGATGGATATTTCCATCACTGAAGTTCAATGGCTCAGCTGCGAATGACGGAAATATCCGTCAGTCACACACACATATATAACTATAACTCTATGCGAATGATGAAAATTGCCATTTTATTGTGATTGATGGCAACTCAGTTTTATTTGTGAGTCAGAAAACGGCAACTGAGCTGCTCCTGCCGCAGTTAATCAAAAAAAAAACAGCTAATTCAGATATTATTTACATATCCATTAAAAGTAACAGAATAATTTCATCAAATTATTGCAGAAGCATCTGTACAAAACAAATTAGAATAGTAAGGAAAGAAAACTGAGAAAAATTAACTATATTATAAGAAAGTTGTTAATTAATGTATTAAAATACTAAAAAGTAAAATAGGATATAAAATACTGGCTACTGAGATATAATGATTAAAAAAAACGTTTGATGTAAATATTTAAGATTTTCCTTTTTAAGTCATAATTAACATGGGCAAAGTTTTCTAGTAAAATTAGGAACAAAAATTTCAAAAGAAAGAAAAGTGAGTGAAAATTTCCAACTGTAATACATAACTTTTTCATGTAACTTTTAGAATAACAAGTATAAAGTTTTCATTAACATCAGCTTACATCAATTTCTTGATCATCCATTGAGCCATGATACAGCCAGATTTCACTATCTCGTAGTTCACAATTCATGTAGGCTATTCTCCAGTCAGCTCGTGTCCTTAAACATAAGATAATGACAGAGTGCTTACCTTACTTATGACCAATTTCATTCTTGTATAGGTTTTAGTTTTTGTGTGAATTATGTACGATTAGTTTCACTAATTGTATTGTTATTTTAACGTTTTGTTCTAGTTTAGTTTTTGATCATAAGTTCTCGATAATAATCCCCCAGACACACACTTTCTTATATATTCTGCATTTATATTTAATTAACCTCTACTACACATATTTACCTCATAATCAAACTAACAAGGAAAACAAGCTCAAGGGGAGACTGGAAATTTGCATATCATTGGACTTGAGAAAAGAAAATGACAGGTCTTTGGAAGAACACAAACAGCACAAACTATGAAAAAGCTAGAAGAAGCAAGTGGAGAAGACTGGAGTACATACAACAGTGAGAACAAACTTGTGGTCTTTATTAGAAAAATACTAACAAATAGAAGAATCAAGGCTAAAGAGATACAGATTAAATGCTATCAGGAAAGATGGTAGGAACTTTTTTTTAAAGAGAATCTTTTATTTGTAAATACAAAAAAAAAGAAGATAATACTGAGAAAGTCAGGTTGAGAGAAACTAAAAAAAAAAGACAAAAACCAGTAAAGTTCAACAACCCAGAAAATAAAAAGAAAAGAATAAAAAAAAGATGTGTTTTAAACAGATAAACCTAAGAAATGTATGTTGATTAGTGTTGGCTAGTTTCAGTGGTGCCCTCAGGAAGGGTCATGAGGGGGCATTTGCCCACCTTACATTTCACAAAATTGCATTATGATGTTAACATAACATTGTAGTTAAAGTAAATATTTTTAGTAATTTTTATTAAAATTGTAAGTTTGTGTTTATGTTTAATCACACATAACATTATTCTTTTAGTCTGTTTGTTAAGCATAAGGCTACACAATGAGCTATCTGTGCTCTGCCCACCATGAGCATTGAAACCACCACCATGACATACCACCATGCCATTGGGGGCCTTTTAGTCTGTTGAGTTGCACTGTAAAAGCTGATCCCCTACATACATGTTTTGCACCCCCTTGAAAATATTTCTGTGAGCACCCATGGCTAGTTTTTTTTTAAAAGTGGATAACATTATTCTTTTAGTTTGTTTGTTTGTTAAGCACAAAGCTACACAATGGGCTGTCTGTGCTCTGCCCACCACAAATATCAAAAATCGGTTTCTAGCATTGTAAGTCTGCAGACATGCCACTGTGATACTGAGGGGTGCTTTATTAACAATAAAATTATCAGTTTATGAAAGGAGATTAACTGGGGGTGGGTCATTTACTTCACATATTTGAATATGTATTTGTGCTGATTCCTTGAACTGGAAACAATTCTGGGGATAGTGCTACTAATACAATACTCTAAGTTCCTTTTCACCGTCAGCTTTCAAAACACATTTTTAGTTCAATAAGAAAGTTTATTTTTAATACCATTTTAACATCTTAATAAATTTTAATTTTTCAAGAAACTGATATAACTACAATTTTCTAAAGTTTTAAAGGATGTGAAATACATTCTACATCTAATCCAAAATCCACTATATTACATATTATCAAAGCATAAATATACACGGAATAGTGAAATAGATACCAACCTGTGTTTAAGGCCATCCACCAGGGGTGTAAGTGCTAGTGTGTGTTCAGAACTTAGTGACAAACGACCACCAAGAAGTTCAAAGCCTCTCTGCTTTGTGAAGGACATCCAATAACAAACCTGGAACTTGTGAAAGTTGACAGACAAGCGAATGTTCCGATAATGACGGCTCAGAGGTACTTTTCTGGGTTTAATATTATTGAACAATATTCCTCGGCGGGTCAGTTTTGGAACACCTGAAAGAATCACCTTCAAGAGAAGAAAGTAATTTGAATCTAAGAACCTGCTATGTGCAAAAAGTCTGGGAAAAATATAAAAATGTTAAAAGTTTAAATATAGCACACTATAAACTGAAAAAAACAAAAACAGAAGGCATAGAAATAGTTTAATAGAGAAAAAGATACAAGTTAGATAAAACAAGGCTTTGAAGACATATTGAAATGATAATATTCAGAGGTAATGCTCAATTGTAAAATAAAAAATGTTTTTTTTTCAACATTTAAAAGTCATCTTAAAAATTATATAAAATAGTTAAGGTATAAATTAAAAACCAACTGAATCTAATTTGATGTTACTATGACTTATCAGTATGTTTGTTTGTTTGTTTTAGAGCAAAGCCACATCGGGTTATCTGCTGTGTCCACCACAAGGAATCAAATCTAGGATTTTAGTATTGTAAGTCCGTAAACTTACTGATGTCCCCCCGGGGGAATTCTCAGTATATGGAAACAATTTTAATTTAAAAAAAGTTTTGGGTATAATTTTAACAAATACTATCCTATTAAAACCAATTAATTAATTCAGAAGAATGGTTTTCAAAATTATTATGAGAGTTTTAAAACCAAGTATTAAATACAGAAAGTAGTTAAGACCTTTTCACATATGACAGTTAGACAGATTAATAATTATCAATTCATAAAGAAAAATAAAATTTATGAAACAGCAAGTATAAAGTTATGTAATGAGTGAATGAGTTCTAAATATTATTCAAATGTACTTAAGAAAAACTAAATAGTTTACCTTTAAATAAATAGTTATTAAAAGTACTGAAAAAAAAAAGTTACCTTGAGGTTTTCTAACCAACGAAGTGTGCTGCTGTACAGTAACATTGTCGGAATATCGGAAGAAGTTTCCAAAGCTACAGGCTTTGTTTCTATTGAAAGTGACATATTCAACTGTTGCGAGCGAAAAGCTCGGTACGAGTCATGAACCTGCAGGTACAATCAGGGACTTTACAACAGAGAAAATATGCAGCTAATTTTAACAAACGAATAACTGGAAAAAAGTTGATATCTATTTTGTTTTAACAACTTATATTACAGAACGAAGAATGGTTTAAATGGTTCTCATCTAATGTATTCAAGTATCTATAAAATGCCAGAAAAATCTTGTATCTACTAGTTAAGTCACTTGTCTGGCAATGAAGTAATCTGATATTTCAAAATAAAAATGTCATACCAAAGTTAGAAGGCATATTTGAAGTTTAGAACCTACCTGGTTACTAGAGTATTCTGGAATTTTATCAGGAGCACAGGGCATCACCACATGATGATCATTAGGATTAGCCAAACACATCCAGTCCAACTTCAAACTAAATATAAAATATAACTTCAAATAAAAAAGTTAATATTATCAAAGATCTGAGTTTAAGAACACTATAATAACTCACTTTTCTGTTACTGTTATTCTTTTTCTACTAATACTGGCTGTAGGAATAAAACATATACACTTTCTTAAAAATATCTTTTATTATGTTACCTACCAATTATCCAGTGTTTATGTATTAGTAAATAAAGTATACTCTAACAGCAACTTTTACAGTTCTGATTTTAATAATTACAAAGTTTCTACACATAGTACTGAGTGATCATTAGATAAGTTATATTCAAAAAGGCAGGTGAATTCCACAGAACAATACAGAATATAATATTAATAACAAAACTGTTTGTTCAAGAATATTTCACTTAAAAATTTATATCATGTGAGTATAATACTGAACACTGCTTATTCAGGAACGTTTCTTCTAGCATCTCATTACCTATATGAAAAATTCTACACATAATAATTACCAAATAAATCCACTACTCGTTAAAATGTTTCTTCCACTATCTTATATAAAATCATTTAACAACTTCTAATTATTGGCTGATGCTGACCAGCTTTGAGGCATTCCGTTATAAGTTTGTTTGTTTTTTGAATTTTGCACAAAGCTATACGAGGGCTATCTGCACTAGCCATCCCTAATTTAGCAGTGT